GGGGAGCCTGCTTCTCCCTCTGCCTGCCGCTCCCTCTGCTTGTACTCTCTCTCTAATAAAAAATAAAAAAATCTTCAAAAAAAAAAAAAGAAAATGTAGTTTCTGTCTCATTTCCTAGTAACTCTATACTTGTAGAACTAATCACAATATTTTCAATGTGATTCATAGGCATTCTATAAAATTGAATTTCTGTCTGAAAACAGAGTCTTAAAGTTGAATGGGTAACTTAGAAATCATTGAGTTGAGCCCAATCCTTTGATATCCCTGCAGTGGGGCAATATTCATCATTCATTTGAATGATTTCAGTCAGTTCATCTAGCATATACTTTATTGAATGCTTAATCCGTTTTAGGTATTAACAAGGGAAGATTGAGTCTGAAGGAGGATCACCAAGCCTTTTTCAATACATAGCGCTTAGAGAAAACCATAGTTATTTGTATGTCTCCTTCAAGTAAATAAGTAAATGGAAGAGGTTGATCTTTGTCCAAGTACCCTGGGTGCTTCTTTTGGCTACTGCCCAGGAACATCTCAGTACACTTGCAACTCCTTTGTGTGGTGTATACCATGTGGGAAGCTCAGTCCTACTAAATACAGAGCTGTGTTCATTTTAATGCAGGAGGTCTGCTTATGGTGTGTTAAAGGCATGGCCATGGATTTAGAGTGGAGATGGAGGATGTTGTATTGCAGATCAATTAGGGATATTGGTTTTGGGGAAAAGATGGAGCCGAAGTCTCTGCATTAGACAATTCCAAGGAGCTTGATTCGTATTGAATTTACTCTGCATGAATGGTGTTCCTTGGAGTTGTGCAGTATACTGTTCTGTAGGTCCTGGAAAAAGTCCAAGTCAGTTGCATTGACATTACTAGGGTCTAGCCTGTAGCTTTCAGGATTATTTCATTAGAGCTATTATTGTTAATTAATAGGAATGTCTATGTTTATTTGAGAAGGATGTAGAATATCACCTGTAGAAGGCTCCACAGTCTCCCTGCACCCCACCCCCATTTTATTGAGATATAATTGACACATTGTATTGGGAACATAGATTCTTGACATTGTTCATAAATTCTTTTTATAATCCACTCCCTCCCCCCCGCTGCCATGTTGTGTTGTAATCCAGGGACTAGGGCAAAAATATCTTTTCCTAGGGAAGATTGTTTCCTTTTTCAGTTTTTAGCTTTTTTATTAATGAAAATATTTTCTCCATGAACATAGGTAGATTGCTTATATAAAACAAATATAAATTTAGAGCTACTACTTTATAAAGGGCTATGTTATAAACATTAAGACAAAATGATTTAATTGTACTTGCTTTGTAATTGTTAAGTGTAATGTTTTTATCTAGATTTCTGTAGAATTCTGTTTTCTCAGAAGGGTAATAAGAAAATGGTACACTGTTTCAAAAGGTTTTGATTCTTATTGATGCCCCATGTTTTGTCTGTCTAAAGTGTCAACCCAAGAAAAAGTCTACGCCACTGAAATATGAAGTTGGAGATCTCATCTGGGCAAAATTCAAGAGACGCCCATGGTGGCCCTGCAGGATTTGTTCTGATCCGTTGATTAACACACATTCAAAAATGAAAGGTAATACTAGTAGTTGATTATACATGGTAAATAACTTGTAGTTGCCTTTAGTGTAACCTAATTTTTGTTGCCTTAAGTAGTAATATATTTTTACCTTTGAGCATTTGGTGAATAAATTATTAATGTATTTTACCATTTTGAATTTTTTTTAAGTTTTATTTTATGATTTATGATTTTATTTTATGATTCTCAGTTATTCTATTTATAGATGCCAGGAAAATGTTAGATTTATTACCTAAAGTTTACATTCTCTAGAATCACTTTTCAGTATATTTAGGTTTTTCTACTTCAGTCTTCAGGTTTGTATCATTGCTGTTAAGTTTTAAAGCTGAAATAATTATAAAGAATCCTTTGAATTTTGAATTGTAAAATCTTGATTTAGTGCATTCCCTTTAATAACTGTAGTTTGTTTCTTACTTGGTTCTCTTTGAATCTCAGGTATCCTTAAAATGCTGTAAGCTAGGAACTAAAACTTGATCTTGAGCTGCCTTTTTTCTATTAAGATGTTTTGTGATTTAATTTGTGTATTTTAGTTTTTGACTACATCATATATTCATAATATTCCAAAAATCAACTCCCTCCTTTTCTCTGATATGCCCCATTCTTTACCCTTCTTTTCAAAGAGTAAACAGTTGTTTTTAATGTTTGTTTCTAAAGTATTTTTATGTAAATTCAAGTATATATTCTCATCTTTTTATTTTAACACAAAGTAGCATATTTTTTGTATGTTTTACATTTGCTTTTTTCACTTAGAGGTTTTTCCATGTTAGTGCATTAAAGATTTTCTCTCTTTTTTATTGCAGCGGTATAGTTTTCCACTTTTTGATTATATTTTATATAACCATTTTCCTGTTGATGGTGTTTAGGTTGTTTTTGATTTTGTGTTGTGAAGTCTCTATATACATATTTACATACATATGTATATAATATAAATGTGTTTCTGTGTACACAACAGTGGTGTAAAGAATAACTTGCACATATACATGTATCAAAATTGGGATTGCTAGATTTGATTTCATATTTCAAATATTGAATATTGAGGTACCTGTCTGGTCTGTTTCTCATGAGTCAAGAATGTGATCACACCAAAGAGCAAGTGCCATTGCTGACTGGAAAATACCATGTTTTGTTTTCAGGCTATAAAAAGGTTAAAACTTTTAAATTCAAGTGAGCTTCCCAGAAAGGGTGAATTTATATAGCTTCCTACTGAAGAAATGACAAAACATGGTAAAATGGATCTATTTAACCTTACAGCTAGTTATTTCATAATACTTTTTCCATTTTCTTTTTAGCATTTTTCACTTTTGTTTTCATTTTCCTAGTTTATGGCAAGCTATAGTCAGCCAAGTTCTGGAAAGCCTAATTAATACCTCTTAGTAGTTAACTCTCCATTTTTCTTTGAATGTGCTCCTTTTCCTCCTTATCTCCTTCATAGCACATAACCTGGTGGAATTACTGGTCTTGCAATTACTGGTCTTGCCATTGACATGTGCCAGTAGTAGGAAATTTCAGATAGACTGCTGTCAAAATAATCCTGCTCCCCATCACGCTGAAACTGTGACCAGTATTAATGTTTGACTCTTTCTGTGGCATTGTAATTTTCCCCTCCAGCTTTTTATTTTGAAAGTTTCAAACCTATAGACAAATTGAAGAGTAACACAATGAATGTATCTGAATACATTTTTATTCTCTTCGTACACTTGTTTGATAGTTTGGCTGGTATAAAACACTAGCCTGGAAATCACTTTTGCTCAATTTTAAAGGCATTGCTCCATCTTTTACTTCCAGAGTTGCTGTTAAATCAAATTATTTTGATTCTGGTATTTTTTCTGTGACTTTTGTCCGTCTCTGATAGCTTGCAGACTCTTCTGTTTGTTCCCGTAGTTCACAAGGCTATACCTTGCTGTGAGTCATCTATTGTGGTAGGTACTTGGTGGACCCTTTTGATATACAAATTTAGTTTCTTTCTTTTTAGGACATTTTCTTGAATTATTTCAGTGATTATTTTCTTCCCTTTGTTTATTCTCTCCTGTAACTCTTACTCAGATATTGACTTTCCTGCACTGGACATCATAATTTTTTCTTTTTTGGGGGGGTGGGTACAGTTTTGTTTTGCTACTTGATAGTGAGTCCTCAACTTCTGTCTTCAAACCCTTTTTTGAGTTTTACATTTCTGCTCTTATGTTCTTAATTTTTTTTTTTTTTTAAAGATTTTATTTATTTATTTGAGAGAGAGAGAATGAGAGAGAGCACATGAGAGGGGGGAGGGTCAGAGGGAGAAGCAGACTCCCTGCCGAGCAGGGAGCCCGATGCGGGACTCGACCCAGGGACTCCAGGATCATGACCTGAGCCAAAGGCAGTCGCTTAACCAACTGAGCCACCCAGGCGCCCTTATGTTCTTAATTTTTCAGGATTCCTTCTTTGTTCTTTCATCTTATTTCATGAGTGCAATATCTTTTTCATTTCTGAAGCTATTTATGATAGTTTCTGTGAAATTTTTTTCTCTGTACATATTATGTCTCAAGTTCTTTTTTTTTTTCCTTTACTCTTTGTACCTTTCTTTTCTATTTTTTATGTTTGAGGCTTTCCTCAGATCTCTGTTCTGGATTAAAGAGCATATGGATACTTCTGAATGTGTGGAGCTTTTCAACTTTTTAATTTTCTTGTAGGGTGATTCCCTTCCCCCTCCCAATCCCTTGTCAGTAGTATCTTCTCCATTTCTTTCTTGGCTTGGTGAGATTCCTCAGAGAAGAGTCTAGTCTTCTACCCAAAAAATAAGAATCTGGCTTCTCATATTCTGGGTGCTCAGTCAGGGAACTCAACTAGGTGGTTGTAGCATTCAGTTCATTCACTCATTTTTTGGTATTGCTATACTCCTGGGCTATGTTTGGTGTTGCTTAGTCTAGAGTCTTTCTGTTTTACTCCCAACTAGTGGAAATACCTCTAGTCTTCTACTGGGGGGAGGGGAGGGGCAATGACAATGTGGTTTGGAATGGAGAAGGCTGCTTAACAGCTTTCAAGCAGTTCTCTGTGTCTTTTTTTTTTTTTTTTTAAAGATTTT